GCAGTGTGAGAAATGTCAAAAATTCTCATCAATATCGAGAAGACCATCTCAAGAGTTGCTTCCATTGGCTAACACATGGCCTTTTGCATAGTGAGGCCTGGATATAGTCAGACCACTACCTCGGGTCCCTAGGAATAAACGTTTTCTTTTTATGGCAATAGACTACTTCACAAAATGGTAAAAGCCGAGCTCCTAGCTAACATCCAAGATACAGACATCAGGAAATTCTTATGAAAAAATATCATCACCAAATTCGAAATACCTAATGCCCTTGTATCTGATAATGGGACACAGTTCGACAGTAATCCTTTCAAAACTTTTTGCCAGTAGTACGAAATTCAGAACCATTATTCAACTCCATCCTATCCTCAAAGTAACGAGCAAGCATAAATTTCTAGTAAAACGATCTTGGATGGTATTAAGAAGAGGCTAAAAGATGCAAAAGGAAGATGGGTGGAAGAGCTGCCAAGCGTTCTGTGGACGTACCGAACCACACCTCGGCGCTCGATTGGAGAAACCCCTTTCACACTTGCCTATGGGATGGAGGCGATAATACCTTTGGAAATTGGATTACCGACCTTAAGGACCGAGCTTGTAGATAGTGGAAGCAACAACGCCGTCATTACTCAGGAACTTGATTTAGTCGAAGAGAAAATAGAGCAAGCAGCGATTCGAATGACATCTTATCGGCAACAGATCTCCAAAGCTTATAGCAAGAGGGTTAATCCTCGGGCTTTCACCCTTGAAGACTTGGTTCTTAGACGCATTATGGGATCAGCTAAGAAAATGATGTCTGGAAAGCTCAGAGCCAACTGGGAGGGGCTATATAAAGTAACGCGGGTTGGGGACTGTGGATATTTCTAAAAGTGTTCCTGGAATTGTACCAATCTGCGAAAGTTTTATTTCTAAAAGTGCCCTTTTGAAATATGGACTCTGAAATACCTTTAGAACAATAAGGGTGCCCCCTTTTTTTGGAATAATATGTGGCAAAAGTATGAATAAATGTTCTTAAGATACATCTCTCAAATTGTTAGTACTATTGAACCAAATACATCCTATTGCTAAGGCAATGAGACAAAAATTATGATAGAAGTATATGCTTAAATTAGGCGCAACCACCCGATCAGCTCCAAGCCCATAGCTAGGCATGACAATGTAAGCTAAACGGGTGAAAATGAGTCCGATTAGATCGACGAGTCGCTGTGAGGGTAGAAACAGTCTTTGGAAATGCCTAAGGGGCCAGAGCCTAACTCTACGTAATGACCGAACTCTTAGAAGAAGGGCCAAATAAGGGCTATAACTTCTACAACTTAAATTTTTCTAAGTATTAAAAGCTCCTTATGATGGGACCGTGCTCTTCGAAGAAAGACCGTAACTTCTAGAGCTTAAATTTTTCTATGTATTGAAAGGTCCCAGTGATGGGACCGAGCTCTTCGAAGAAGGGTTGAGTAAGGGCTATAATTTCTAGAGCTTAATTTTTCTAAGTATTGAAAGGTCCCTATGATGGGACCGAACTCTTCGAAGAAGGGCCATAACTTCTAAAGCTTAAATTTTTCTAAGTATTAAAAGGTCCTTATCATGGGACCGAGCTCTTCGAAGAAGGGCCGATTAAGGGCCATAACTTCTAAAGTTTAAATTTTTCTAAGTATTGAAAGCACCCTATGATGGGACCGTGCTCTTTAAAGAAGGGCCAATTAAGGGCCATAACTTCAAAAACCTAAATTTGTTTTAGTTGGGACCGAGTTTATTGAAGAAAGGCTGAGTACAGGCCATAACTGCATGAGTAATCTTCTATTTTTAAACAACCACAAAAACTGAAAAGAAAATGGAGACACCGAACAAAGAGCTAGGACATAAAACTTTCATTATACTTCAAAAAAGTTACAAAATCATTCCAGAGTATACTTCAAGAAGTTACAAAAAAATTTCTGAAGTGTTTGTCTTTAGGAAGTTGGAGGCTAGGACGAGCTAAGCAAAGAATGACGAGAATAAAGCTCAGAGGATTGAGGCACTCCAACAGCAGTCAAGGCAGCATGCCACCCCTTGCTAAAGTACGCCTTTTCCAAGAGTGGAGTCTATAGAGCTAATCGTTTGTTGCATTCTCCATTCCTTATTCATATGTAGAGTCCTCTCGATCCTTAGCCTTGGACCTAATCTTATCAAACTCTTCCAAGAGACTGACATGATCAAGTTGGGATTGGGAGAGCTTCACATTTGCTGCATGCTTAGACTTTTTTAACTACTCAACCTCTGTAGAAAGCTTCTTGTTCTCCTTGGTCAGGCTATGCATTTGAGCCTGTAGAACTAGAACTTCCTCGCAGAGCTTGGCGTGCTCTTCATCTGTAGATTTTTTCTTCGCTAAAGCTGAAGCATGGGCGTGGATGGTATCTTTCATGGCTTTGTCTTTTCGGGCTATCCTAGCCCCTACCTCGTGTATTTTTTGACTACAAGTTAAAAAGAGAGAAACTTAGATAGATTACTGTGGCTCTAAAGGAAGGAAAAAGGAACAAGCTTAATACTAGAACCATATGCTAGATTGTTTGGCGAGCAATCTCATCATCAGACAGAGCATCATTTGCTGCTATATCCTGAGGCAAAATTATCCCATAGCAATCCCCACTGCAACATTAAAGTCTTCAACAGCAGAATCCTTCACTATAATCTCCCTTCTTTTTGCTCTGAGGACAGGTCGAAAAGGAGGAGTAACTGGCTTAGGAGACGGGACTGCATCAAACTCCACAACTTTACGCCTTTTAGGGGTAGGGTCTTCGAAAAGCTCCAAAATTGAATCAGGATGGTTGTTGGGGGAATGAACATGAATTGGAGGACCGCACTCAGTGGGAATAGAAGAATCTATAGCCTAAATTAAATCAACTAGTTCATCATCCGATAAAACCATATTGCTCGACTCGGGAGGAACAACTTTAGTAGGGACATCGAGTGCAAGCTCCTCTACAAGTACAAGGTTGGAAAAAGTAGGAGGATCAATTAGCACAGACGGTTTGGTAGGGATGGATGGTTCAATAGCTAATAGAAAATAAAGAAAATTTTTGACTGATCTGTTTCTTCCAGAAGGGTAGGGCATTGTTTTGTGGGAATGAAGAGTCTGGTCCCGAGTAGCCTGGATGAACTCACGATAGGCGGCAAGAGCAGAGTTAGGTTGGTTGGGCACTGCAATGAAGGACATGTATGTTGGTGTATACCTGAGCAGAGTATAAGCGGCACGCCAGAAGATGGATTCATTATAGTCCCACACCTTCTTGAGCTCATCCATCTTGATAGTGCGCTCAGGGACTCTTCCTTTCACAGTCTCGCCTTCGAAGAAAAAAACAACGTAAGCAAAAATAGTAGATGAATGAATTAAGAAGATATAGTAAAAACAACAATCACATGGTGCACCTTCCTCATAGCGGCAACAATAAGAAGGAGTAGCGCCAACAACATATTTCCAGTTCCCAGAAACAAATACCACATTATTCTCATGGCCTTTGTTTGAGTCTGGAAGATGGGTCACCAAATATCAATCATTCCTTCTCACTGTGAGATAGTAGTTGTCTCTTGCTGGTTTGACGATGTAACAATACAAAATTTTCCATAGTCCAAGGCTCAGGTTCAGAAGCCTATTCAGAGCAGCAACACCCATTACTATTCTGGAAAAATTGGGGCAACATTGGATGGGACACAACTTCATCACAGATAGCACCCAGAAAAAGAGAGGATCAAGAGGGAAACAAACACAACCTTCTATGATTGCACGGGTATGAATCCCTATGCTCTCTTTGGTTCCAATTAGAGGTTCATAGGTACCAACGACTCAAACATCGACATCATCAAGAATGTTATACTTAGCTTTAAAAGCTAAAATCTCAAAAGGTGTTAACGGAGCCATAGCATAGTAGAAAACAAAGAAGGCAGAGGATAGTTCGCAAAAAGGAAGGAAGAAGGAGTAAGAAGAAGAAGATATAAAAGTTTGTTTAAAAGAAGGGGAGCGAAGTGCAAGAGACAATGTTTAAATACATAACTAGCTGCCAAAACAAAGGGGGATGTCTCAAAAGTATGCACAATGATGGATTTGGGATCATGAAATGACTGACAGACAAAAAATGTTTATCACACATTTCCTGGGGGCAAATGAAGGAGTTTGCTCCCTTTATGCAACGTGTATTCACATTAAATGATCTCACGTGAGGGTAACATGACCAGCCATGTGAGAAAGACATCACTCAGTCATCAAACCGCAATCGAGTTGTTTAGAAGCTCGGGAAAGAGGGAACGAGCTCGGTCCTCATCATGACCGAGATGTTTCAAATAGTAAATGAGATGCTAAAGAGATGTCTATAATTCAGGCATTCTGGTCAAACGAATGGGTATTATCATAGGCTCGATAGAAGGAATTGTTGGAGAGATCTCAACAACTTCCTGAACAGAGTCGCCTGATTGAAGAAAGGTGTACCACCTTGAATCAAAAATGATGAAACCCTAACTAAGCAGAGCTCTATAAAAAAGTATAAGGAGCCAAGGTGAAAGGTACACTGAACTTTCCTTGTCTTTTGCAATTCATCTAGTACCATTATTGACTTAAACATCAGAGTATGTTCGATTGAAACACTTCGATATTGGACAGTCTGTTCGTTTTGTACGAAAGAAAGAATGACAGATCAAGTTCAAAATTCACTCTTACCAGAAATATCAATTATTCACTCTTGTAGGAGGTATACCTGTTTTTGCCCCTGACACTCACCAACTTGCACCATAAGTCTTACACTTTGTTTTTTTATTTCATCGATGATTATGTGTGGATCAATTTATGTACAGTTCAATTAATTTTTTTTTTCAATGTGATGAAAGGAAAATTATCTACTTCAAAATTAGAATATTCATCGCCATAAATCTTTTTGAAAGGGAAGGGAGGTAAGTGTCATATGAACATTTTTTTTGAATAGTTATATCGAACAATTCAATCCCTATAAATGGTAGAATGAGAAAGTAGCCAATACAAAAGCTGAGCATGGGATAGAGCGACGGGGGAGAGAGAGAGTCCAACTAGAAGTAGGACTCCAGAGATTGAAGAACAAGCAGTACCACTTGTAGTAGAATTAGTAGTAATAAACAAACCCTACCTCAAAACCCCCCCAATGATCTCTCTGTGTCTCAACTAACCCTAAAAAAATATGTTGTGGCTCTCATTGTTTCTCCCAAACCCCTTCAAATACGACGATCAAAACCCCTCATTGCCACCGCCATACCCCTCAACTCCGCCCTCCTCCGCCGTCAAGGACGACATCTCCGTCCTCACCCACCAACTCTGCGGCGCTCCCCTTCCGCCACAGCATTCCATGACCGCCTTGGCCTCCGATGATGAGACGACGTCGTATTCGCAAGCAATTCTTGGAATTAAGAACGATTTAGTGGAGATTGGGGATAATTTGAAGACGGGTATTTCGCTATTGGCATCGAATAAGGTTGTGTCTGGGATTTCTCTGTTCGCTTCCAGGCTTTTACCATTCCAAAACGACGGCGATGAGGCTGAAAGAGATGAGGGAGACGTCACAGTAGGAATTACGGAGGAAGTTTTGGACTTTGTGGGGGAAATTTCGCTGCAGCACGAGTGTTGGACCGATTTTCCTTTGTCACTACCCAATGGTATATTTGATTTTACTTCATTATATGCCTATTTATAATTTTCTTACTCATCCACTTGAATACAGTGCACTTCGTATCTGTGCAAACTGTTGATTGTTGTGACGTAATTCAATCTTTGTTACCACTTTTGTGCTATTGATTGGTGCGAGTAATCTAGAATCAATCACCAAATAATGGTACTTTTTCGAATTCTTTATCATGATTTCTATGTCACTTTTTAATGGGCAGTTGTTTCTATGAAAAACGTGGTTTGAACAAACGTGCATGCTAGACATGCTTTCAATAGAAAACCTTGTAAGGATATTGCAAATAGGATTTGCATGGAAAAGTGTCAAACCACCTTTTCATGTGAAAAAAGAGTTGATTGAGAAACAAGCTAGAAATCATGGCACAAAGGGAAAAAGTTATGAAAGAACTGTAAGTGATGTATGGCTTATATTGCTGTACTGTTTACCTATTTTGGCATACTTTGTTGCAGATTATAATATGTCCGACATTCAGAGAGATCACGCTGCAACTATTGAGCGATTGGTGCCTAGTCTTGCAGCTTTGAGGCATCAAGTTTGCAATTACTTGAGTGACAAAGTTTTTTGGATGATCTACTTTATTTTGTTGCAATCTAGGTTGAATGAGAATGATTCCAAATTTCTATCAACTCCACAGGTAAGACGCTGATTCATATGTCTTCACTCATCTTTTGTGATTTTGATGCACAGTGAAGCCTAATGCAACTGCTTTGGTGGACACAGATTTCACGACTATTAGATGTGATGCAGTGGTAGCTCCAAATAATAACAACTTTAGTGAGACACCATTTTTATTTGTGGATATTAAGGTTTAAAACCACTTCCATCTATTTTTGTGAACATTGTCAAATGCAGGATTGCAATAGAAGTTTCTGATAAAGCAAGTTGTCATTATGCAGACCTTATGTCAATTTGTTAATTGGGTAGGGTAACCAGATGAAACCTTTAGTTTGGCAATGACTTGCTTGGAGATGCAAGGAATCTAAAGGAAATAGAACCATTGCAGAAAGAGAAATTGATACCGACTTTTAAGAGTTGTTTCAACTTTCAAATGTCATCATGTTATTGAGCTAGCATTTTGTGATTTGACATTAGATTTGAAGTCTTATGCATTCCCTTCTTTGCTTGGAAAAGTTACAGAGGATAAGAATTAGGAACAGTTGATTGCATTTTATTAGTGTATGCACCATAAGATTTATCTAAAATTATTTTGCTGTTTCCTTAACCTTCGAGTCAAAGCAATTAGTTGCAGTAGCTTGCTTTTTGAGCTCTAGTTGCTGCTTCTTGGTGTTAATCTTTCTGACTTCAAATTCATATGTATTTTGGTGCTTGGTCTGTAAAGGACTCCAATGCAAGACCTTCTCAAAGAAATCTTTAGACCTCAGTCCGAGCGATAAAGTTGTGTCAGAATGTAGTGTTGCTCGTGCAGCTACTAAAAGTCAATAAAATTGGGGATATTGGCATGCCTAATCTTTTTTTTGAGGTGGCTATTTAGGTAATTTTGTGAAGAGGTTACCTGGGTTTTGGTACTTCGGTGTGTGCATTTGTTAGCATGTTTCAATTTAGTTTGAGATTAGGAAACACGGATAAGGATATGAGATATAGGTATGATATGATATAGATACGGCGATACAACAAAACTCTAAAAAATAAGATATGGGTATGATTGGGATATGTCCATATATATATATATTATATAATTTTATTATTATATAATGACTTAATAGCTATAATTTTTAGTGATTCTTTAACAATAATAAACAACATTAATAGTTTTTTATTTTCAAAAAGTTACTTGTCTTCTCATTATAGTGCATCCACAAAGTGAACGTAATTAATTAAAGGAATAAGAACCAACATTTAATTATATTGTTTGCTTAAAGTATTTGTTATTAAGGTTATAGAGTAATCAACTCATTTAAACTCTTTGGACATATGATAATGGATAATACTTAAACAATGCCCATGTGTCTTTCAAGTCATATGAATTGTTTGTTAATGTATTGCATTGTACGTGAAATCAAAAACAATTGGTAAAGATTAAAGCTAAAAATTATACATACTAGAAGTATCAGTGAAGTATCCATATATTTTATTTCTTATTGGATACATTTGGTGTGTATCCAATAAGTATACGACAATAATCGTATCCGATACGGTATTTGATATGGATACATCGATCTTAACAAAGTATCCACGCTTCCTACGTTTGAAGCCTCTTCCAAAATTGTACCACAACACTAAAAGGAATATTCTACCAAAAATGTAGTGTCCTTGACTTTTTAAAGGTGGGAAACTTTCTTTATATGTTCTCAACTGGTTGATTTTCTTCTTTTGAAGTAGTAGTATGAATGAATCCATCTTACTTAAGAAAGTTTCATGTCTTCGTAGATTGTTGAAGCAAGGGAGGCACTTCTGCAGAAGCTGCTAAACAAGAGGAGTGTAGCAATTAAAACTCCTGAGAACTCCGAGACTGTTAATACATTTCAGGACAGTGATATAATTAATAGCACACCAGGAGACAACAGCTCATCTCAGCAGAAAAGCGTTTTAGCTGAGGATATCGATGCATTGCTGGAGACACATATTGATGACCATGGGAATACTGAGCAGTGGTTAGAAGATGAGGATGCTGATTCATGTTCATCTGTAGATGCTTGGAAACAGCCTGAAAATGAGGAGGATTTCTCATTCAGCCATCTGGAAGATGATGATGGTGATCTCCCAGGTAGACTCTCAGGTTTCAGACCTGCCCAAAGCAAAGAGGTTTCTTCACCTAGTGAATCCAGTGAATGGGTTCGACTCTGGAAAAAATCAGGAACACAAGGTGGTTGGCAAAAGGCTTGCAAATCAACCACCCGAGAAGAAAATTCGGAAGGCGAGGAGTCAAATGATTGGCTCACGGTGGATAATGTAGATTGGGACGGTTAGGCTACAATTTGAATCATCCAGCATCTGTAAAGCCACTGCTTTGTTCTTTTTTTCTTTCTGAATATTTCGGTTTTGTGAAGATTCAAAACCTTACGAAATAAGCTTAATTATTTTTCAATCGAGATGAATTTGCATTATAAATTACATAATGCCACTATGAATTTGGCAGTTGAGCATTTTTGATCTCTTTGCTATCGTAAATGTCTTAAAGAGTTGTCCAAAAGTACTATAATTGTTTTAAGTGGTAAATGTTGTTGCTTCTTTACAAAGAAAATAGGTGTGCACCAGGCCCTGAAACTGCTGTCTAGTAACTTGCTTCGCATTGGAATGCATTCAAAGATTTTTTCGTTCTTGATGGTTGATAAACAAAGTGATCCCCTATACTGCATCATAATTCAGGGTTCAAGAAGAGAAGAAAGAGAAAAAAAAAAAGGGGGGGGGGATGTTGTACTTATCCTATGTGCTTGGACAACAAACATGAATTTATTGGTTCTAAACATATTTTGATGCATTTGACATGCCCTGCATACATGGCTCCTCGTGTACCGAGAGAATAGGCAACTGAATAGGTATTAAAAAGGGAGCTGGGTGGTTACTTGGGAAGAAATACGGGGTAATATTGACATTTCATGAATAGATGTGTTTGAGTGGAGTTAAAGAGGGAGTTATGAGTAATTATTTGGAAAAAGGAAAGGGTATTATAGACATTTTAAGAGTGTATACATCTCCTCCTCTCCCTTCATTATAAGACTATGCAGCATCAATCCCCTCTTTGAACAAGTTATTTGTTAGTGTCGATGAAAAGGCACCTGATTGAATGAAAAACAATATAAGCTGATACAGCATACAATGCCACAAAATTGTTTTCTTGCATATTCTTTTCCAGTCATGTTTCAACTATTCAACTTTTGAGTAACGATTAGCGAAAGGAGCACAGTTGAATTAATATTAGGCATATAAACAAGGGCCAGCCAAATTAGTGAAATACTGGATTTGTTCTCTCATGCTTTCTTTTCATGAAAAAAAACAAATAACAATTGAAGTAGAAAGTTTCTCATCTCTTCTCGAGAAAAGGTGGGCTATTTCTTGGCAAAATTATGTTTAAATTCATACGTGGCATTTTTGCCCGAATCAATAGTTTCATTTCAGAGCATCCCCAACAGATGCTTCAAATGCCAAAAATAGACAAATTTTAGTTAATCAAAGCCCAAAACAGCACTCTAACAGATTAAGTTCATATGTTGTAAAATAGAGTTTTGCTACTAGAGTATCGTTGTAGCAATATGTAAACATAATATATATTATTTTCTCTCTCTTCCTTTCATTTCTTTCGTTCTCTCTCTTTCTTCCTTTCACTATTCCTAAAAAATATAATACAAAAGGAATGATAAATAATATTTAAAAGGAGTAGTTAAAAATATAGAGAACTTGTTGGAGTGTGTATTTAAAAATGAGTAGCTAAAATAGAGAAAGTTATTTTTTGGATAGTTAAAATAACTATTATTGTTAGAGATGCTTTGATATATGTTCTTGATTTTCGTGTTGTTTTTTGACATCTAAGGCTCCATCAGTTCAATTGCAGACAAAGGACATCCAAAAAAGAGAAAAGAAGTTCTCAGTAAAGAAATATTGCTGACATCTGCCTGATTTTGGGAAAGGGCCAGCAATATGCATTAATGAATAATATATTTCCTTACAGGAACAAATTGCATCCTCCACCTGATCAAAGTCAAACCAATATGACATCGGGATTGCATTAGATATATGATAGGTGGGGCTATTGTTGTGGTCTCTGGGAGTTCGAAAATTTCTCAAGGGTTGGATTGTATGGGTTTAATTCGGGCTTATATTGGGCATTGATCTGCATGGTGGTTTCATCGCATCGATCATAATTAGTCCAAGACTTAAATATACACCTGTAGTAAGGAATAAAAAAATCTACCATAAATCTTTACTGTTCCCATTCTATTTCAAAAGATCACTTGTCTTTTTTGTACTGTTTTTCAAATTTCCTGTTGTTTTTAATAGTGGAGTTCTTTTCCTAGTCAGATATGCACATAACTGATCAAACAAATAGCCTTTTAGAAAATTAACCATCTCACACAATTGGTATAGCAATCAAATTGGAGCTTTGACCTGTGAAAACTTGAAAGCATCCAAAGGAGGACCAAAGTCCCAAACCATAAAAACAAGTTTCCATACACAGGTTTCTTTGGGTGTCCTGTACATTTTAGTAGTAAAAGAGAGAAATTATTTTAAAAATGTTGACTGAACATCAGAAATTTAGAAGGAAACTTTTTTTCGTGTATCAATACAGAAACAATGTCAACAACACAAAAGTGAGATTTCGTCTCTTAATAATTTGCAATGGCTATAATTGGAACCATAAGTTCTTGATAATGATTTCAAGAACATGCCGAGCTGGTTGCCTGCCATATGGGACGTGCATTGGAGCTACACTTAGTTTCTTTTATTTGGCTGATAGAGCGTCCCAGGTTCCAACAGTTTCGTTATTTGAGCAAAGATTGACAGGAGGAGTACACTTGAAACAATATCAAGCGCTTAAACAAGGACTACTTCTTAGGATTGTGTATACAACTCTGAGCTCGTCTTCATGAATTTTCCACAGCGTCTCCAATTCTCCCCATGTTTGATATTCCAAGTCTACACCATATAAGATATCATGAATGGACCATAACAAATTTCTCAATAGCTTTACTTAATATACCATGAGGGGAGGGATATATGCATCGTATGTTTACATGCTATTCATTTATATACCAAATTCGTAAAAGTTATGTGTTTTCAAGAAAAAAGCAAACCAGTACTCTTACATGGGAAAACACATCAACACAATCAACCTGTCTTATCTATTGGTATATGCCTACCCTATCCTAAACATTTTAGAAAACATGGCATATGGAATGTAGTTATTTTAAATAATCCATACAAAAAAAATATTATTTTATTTTAGTGTATTGGCTACCTATGAGTAATTATATATATAAGGGTAAAAATAATTAAAGAAGATTAATATGTCTCTAACAAAAGTCTTGTCCTAGAGAGAGATCTATTAGGACTATTCTACATGTAGTTTAAATAGGATAGTATTATTAGATAGATAAAACTCTAGAAGACCAAAGCAAGGGGTAGCAAACAAGGAAAAAAACAAACGTGAGAGAGAGAGAAGGAAGGAAAGAAAAGAAATAAGATAGTACTAGTAATTGTTCATGCTTAAAGGCACGAAGTAACGAAAAATTGAATTAAAACTTGAAAAATACTACCGTGCCTACGGGCACTTGGCAACCTAAAATAAACCATCAATTTGAAATAATTTTATATCATTTGCTTCAATTAAATAAATTGAAATCAATTTAGTCCCCACTAAGTTTTCAAAAATTTTGACCAAATTTCCTATAAAAATAGGAGCCCAAAAAGATTTTAACCTGTCTACAAAACTTACAATCATATATAACAATTATAATAATGGCTCGTATCACTATAATTCAATTTTATTTCCCCCACAATCCTCATACATCACAACTCAATTCCACACCCAACTATTAATGCACATCAAAACCAAACATATTCTCATAACCATGTGTAATTAGTTCGTCGTATTAAACATGGAATAAACAAAATACATGCAAACTACACACAAAAAACACACATGTGCACAAAGATATAAAGAACTTCCTTCATCATCATCTTCTTTGGAGCTAGGAGTTACCACCACACAAGTGTCTGATTGGAATGAACTTTAATTCGTATCTAAAAGCACGATGTAATTCAAAAAAATTGGACATTGATCTTGAACACAATGAAAGAAGAAAAATAAATATCATACATCATCATTGATTCTCAATCTAGTTGGTCCGTCATAAACATCAAGGAGAGCATGCAAAAATTCATGTGTGAGTAATGGCGCCTAAGTATTTCTAAGTCCTAACTGATTTAATTTTGGTTGTGTCGTACTATTATAGATAGCGATAAATTGTGCCTAAAGATACCATACAATTCATAAAAAAATCGAACATTGATTGTGGACTCAACAAAAATCAAACACTGAACAGAGACACGAATTAAGCTGTAAAGCTAAGTTGCATCCTTAACATACCCACACTTTGCATACATGCTCAACCAAGTATTACCAATATGAATATTCTTATAAAGGCATTATGCTGAATAAAAAAATAGCCAATATTTAATCAAAACATATTTTTGTTCTTTTACACAATTTTGACAATTTCCTAAAAATAGAACCTCAAGAAATATAGATACTCTATAAAATGCTAATTACATGTGTTGTGTGAGTGTGTGTGCCATTGGTAATAGAATGGCTCAACTTCTATTCACCACATCACTTGGTTATCCAACTTGAAGAAATATAGACAACCCATAAAATCAATGATTGAAGGTTTGAAATCGAAGCAATACAAATTGCAAATTTAGTTTCACATGTTATCAAACATGATCCAAAAATAATAAGTTAGAACTCAAACTATAAATTCAAGGAAATCAATAAAGACTTTGAATTTCCAGATCAAGACTCTGCCCAAGAAAACAAATCATTAACGTCAAGGCAAAAGACATCCAATTAAACACCCAATTAAAAACACCCAAATTAAACACAAACATTCAAAAACCCAAACACAAATCACACACAAATTTGTGTGTTTGTGTGCTGTTGTGTAGTGTGTGTGTTTTTGTGCAGATGTGTGTGTGTTTTGTGTGATGTTGTGTGTGTGTGCTACTGTGTGTGTCTGCGTGTGTGTGCTGCTGTGTAATTTCTAATCTCATCCACTACACACTAACGTTCGAAATTCCAAAAACCCACATCATTCCACATCAAAACCAATTAGTTGAAAATTAGCACTCCAATGGTTGATTTATTCTCTACTTTTTACAACTCACTCGATAAAAAAATCATGACAAAAAATCATGCATCAAAACCAAGGAAGTTTAATTGGCAACCACAACAACAATTTTAATTTAAACCATGATGTCATGGAGAACCCCAATTTGAGAACCCTATCACCCAAATTAACAGCCAATTCATAGAAATTGTTGTATGTTTGTGTGTGTGAATGTGAATGGTGTGTGTGTGTTGCTGTGTTTATGTGCAATTTGTGTGTACATATATTTGTGTGCTGGTGTGTGT